CCAGACGTACTATTGGTGTGCCCATTTGTCAGCGGCCTGGGAAGCCGCGCTGCAAGGGATTTTGTGGTCACCTCACCTCTGGAGGTGACCGCAAATGCCCTATTTATTTTTTCGCATTTTCTTCAAAAATTGGCAAAACCTCGTTCACAAAAGCTCTTGCAAAATTTGTGGATGGCTCCGTGCGACCAGCCAAGTACCAAATCCCCATTTCTCCAGACGGCCGGGACACGGCCGCGACCTTGTCCCGCCTGAAAAGGTACCGCAGTGTGACATGAACCATGCCCAAAACCTCAAATTGGCCCTTCCGGAATCCGCATATTTTGCGGATTTGGGTTCTCAGTGTGAGTATGCCCTTAGAATGTTGTATAGCAGAGCCAGGGCAGAAGTCACAACCTGGGTTTACCCTCTTCTTCCCTAGGTAGTCAAAAAAAACTTGAGAATTTGTACCGCCTGTCCAGAGGGCCTGAACTTTATAAGGGGTAACTGACTGTAACTCGGACTGAGTGTCTCGCCGCACGGCACACGAAACAAAAACGAAACGAGTGCATCTGCCCACGAAAGGTGGCAAAATACACTCCTTACTATTTATAGCAAACCGATGAACCTGGTCATTTTCTGCAGGAAGATGCACTCGTTCCGTTTTTCGTTTCGTGTCCCGTGTGGCAACGCCCTGAATTTTACGAGGAGTACCGGAATGTCAACCAGTTGCAGGCCTCCCTGCGCACAGGAGGCTGAGTCGCTACCCCCCCCCTCCCCCTCCCACACTCGTGGTTTATATACGATGATAAATATCATTCACCGACATCCATATTTGTCATACCACTTCACTACAGCCTGGGGAATGTCTCTCTCTCTCTCTCTCTCTCTCTCTCTCTCTCTCTCTCTCTCTCTCTCTCACATACACACACACACACACACACACACACACACGAAGAAAGAGTTGGTGGATATGTTTCTGACAGAGTTTGTGCATGTGTGTGTGAGAGTGTGTGTGCGTGTGCGTAAGTGTGTAACCCGCATAATAAGACATGATTACTGTATGATACGGAAACCGCATCATAATCAAGATCCGAAATAATATATCGGCGTAACTTGAGAATGAAAACTTGTAGGTGTGGTGCAGACGCATCCAGTACTCCAAGGTGGGGACTGACTATGTCGGACTACACGAGCAAGCTCAGGAACAAAAACTTGTAGGTGTGGTGCAGGCGCATCCTATACTGTAAGGTTGGGAATGACTATGCCGGACTACACGACCATCTATGCTCCCACTTCAGTTTGCAGGCGAACTGGAACACACACGATCAAATAGACACCACAAGACGGGGAAAGGAAGCACAATAAGTCAAAAGGCAAGGAGGCAACGACAACAAACTGCAGAAGGGCACAAGGACTGGGGGGCACGGGGGAGGAGGGAGGGCAGACCATACATAAATGCAAAAAAAACAAAGAAAAACAAAAAAAAGGCAATTACAGAAAAATACCCCAAGCATAAGACATCGGGCAGCAAAAAAAGACAATGGGTGGAAGGGAGGGGGCAGGCGGGAGGGCAGACATCACTCAAACACAGAAAGCATGCAAAGCAAAAAATACAAGTACCCAAAAACAGCGAAGACCGGAAAAAATAAAAAATAAATAAAAAAACGATGATGACAAGATTGTTTCGTCCGAGTTGCACCGACTCATCAGGAGGCTGAACCCTCGACAATCTGCGGAATCCCCGTATTTGATGGTTTGGGTCATGAACCCTTTGACCCTTGTTGAGGGCAGACTGTCCCCAAGCGGATCATAGCAGCGGGCAGCAACCCTGTGGAGCACCAGGCAACACAGTAGAGGCAGCACGGCTGCACAACGCCAAAAATGACTGCAAGGAACGACATGGCACGCAGGACAAGCAGCGCAGCAACTGTGCCGTGAAGCGTAACGCAACACAAGCAAGGCAACCATACTGCAAGGGCCGACAGGGCAAGCGGGCCAGCAACTCGGCAACCATGGAGCAAAGCACAAGGCACCCTCAACAAGGCAACCAACCAACAAGGCCCACAAGCAGCAAACACGGAAGGCACCACCAGTGGAAGGGTAACAAGGCAGCGGAGCAGGGAAGCGCAAGGCAACACCAACAACACGGCCACACCGCAAAGCGAACAAGAGCCACATGCGAAGCAAGCGGGACAGGCAGCAGGGCGGCGGCAGAGCGCAGACGAGGTCGTCCACACATCCAACACGAAGCAAAGCAGCGCATGACCTACTCACATCATGGTTGAACCCATTCACATCATGGTTGAACCCCGCAGACTGTTGGTTCCCACCACCCACTGAGCCAGGAAGTCACTCCGGTGAGCATCCGTCATCACCCATAGGCAACACAGACATCCCGAACAGAGCAGCCCCCCTAAGAGTGCATCCCTAAGAGTGCAGTTGGCACTCCAAATGAGGAACCACCGACTGTTTAGCACTACTTAAGGGTACTCAGTTGGGCACCCAAAGAAAATACTTAGAAAAAATCAGAGGGAGGACAGACAACAGGAAAAAGACTGACAAACATAAAACTGATTGTGTGTGTGTGTGTGTGTGTGTGTGTGTGTGTGTGTGAGAGAGAGAGAGAGAGAGAGAGAGAGAGAGAGAGAGAGAGAGGAATCAAGGGTCAGTGACATTGGGTAGGGTCGCATTGTATATGGGTTGCTCGTTATTTACTCAGCTCTGCGTAGGCGCCACTTCTGCGGCAGAAAGGTCTCGATTGTCTCACCAGGAGGAGGGAGGGGTGGGTTCACACCCCGAGTATCAATTACAAGGAGGGAGATTGTAACTGCAAAGGGACCCTAGAAGTCTTCTCTGACCTTCGCAGACTGAAGGGGGTCAGGTCCCGCTGAAGGATTTAAACCCGCTGATTAGTTGAACCTGTGTAAGACGATGGTCAGTCATGCTAAGGAGAAGGGAAGGTGGAACCATAGGGAGGAGAGGATCAGGAAAATCAGAATTGACGATTACGAGCAAATCAATGATGATGCTGATGCTGCTGATGCTACTACTGCTGCTGCGTGATGTTGATGATGATGATGATGATGATTACTTGGACAAGGGATGATGGATTATGGTGATTACGTGGACGAGGAAACCAATGAAGATAATGATGATGATGATGATGATGATGAGGAGGAGGAGGAGGAGGAGGAGGTGGAGGAGGAGGAGGAGGAGGGAAAACAAAAATGATGATAACTACGCGGACGAGGAGTAATTAATGATGATGATTACGTGAACAAGGAAGCCAAAGATGATTAGGATGATAAAAAAAGCAATACAAAAAGGATGATGACTACGTGGATGGATGATGACTACGTGGACGACGAAACCAATGATGATGATGATTAAAAAAACAGAAAAAGTTGATGATTACATGAGAACGAGAACGAGGGATAATGACGTTGATGATGATGAGAGAGGGAGGAGGAGGAGGAGGAAAATGTTGTTGATGATGATGATGATGATGATGATGATGATGATTACGCCAAGTCACAAGCTCATCTACCCCTCTTCCAGACCCCTTCGGCCATCCCTCCTAACCTTCTACCTCTCCCTGTCGCTATCTAAGGTAAACACCAAACTCAACCAACCGGACTAGATCCGTTGGTACACCCACGAACTGTTGAAATACAGACCCAATCTGGGTGGATGACTCCATCCAGTCTATCGGTGGGGAGCTGCACCTGCTGAAGAGCGCGTCCAGCGTCCCTTAGGATCAGCAATAAAAAAAATGAAGGGGATACCAAGGGGCCTACATCCGTTGGTACACCCACGAACTGTTGCAATATGAATCAGACCCAAGTTCGAATCCAGGTACAATCAGATTACCGAAAAAATAATACTAGTATCATTCTGAATTACCTGGGGCCGGTCAAGGCCATCGCCCTTTTAACAGAAAAGAAAAAGGAAAGAAAAGAGGAAGGAAAAGGAGGACTAAAGCGGAAGAAAAGGGGGAAAAAAAAAAAAAAAAAACTCAGACGATTAACTGAAGTTAGGTAAGTTAGAAGGAACTGACGTAAGTAGTTAAAAACAAACTGCGGGCTAGGGTTTAACCAACAAGAGAAAAACCTTTTTTTTTTTTTTTAAATAACAAACTGCGGTCTAGGGTTTTAACCAACAAGAAAGAAAAAAAAAAAACAAGATGGGTGGTAAGGAACGAACATAAGTGGTTAAAAACAAACTGCGCGCTAAGGCAAAAGAGCAAACTAGGATGATTAACTAAGGTAAGGTAAGTGGTAAAGAACACAGTGACTGACGTAAGGAACTGACATAAGTGGGTAAAACAAACTGCGCGGTGCAGCATTCATGCGAGGGACGCTGGGCCCGTTTATCGGCTTTAATTGAAAGTTGTTTAAAAAAAAAAAAAAAAAAAAAGAAAGCGAACTGGGATGATTAACTAAGGTAAAGTGAGTGGTCAAGTCCTTCGGGACATCCGTTAAAATTGGAACGATACAGAGAAGGGTAATTAGCAAATGGCCCCTGCGCAAGAATGACACGCATAGATCGTGAAATGGTCCCAAAAAAAAAAAAAAAAAAAAAAAAAAAAAAGTAACTAGTCAAGAACACACTTAACTGACGTAACTGGTTGTGGAAGAAACCAAACTGCAGCCTACGGTCAACGACAAATCCGCACCAACTGGCTTTACCTCGGCCCCTCGGGGTTGCTCAGACAACGAGTACCATAAACACACACGCACACACACACACACACACAAAGACAAAGACAAAAAAAAAAAGAAAAAAAAAAAGTAATTGCACTAACATAATAACGATATCAGGAATACCACAGTCGGTAAACAAAAAAAAAAGAAAACAAAAAAAACACTTTTGAAATGGCATGACAATTTTTTTTTTGAAAACTTAAGCCCTCCGTTAACCGACTCTAGGAATACTCTCGGAACATGACAGTATCCCCGGGGGAAGTTTATTACTAAGTTTAATTGTTAAGAAACCACATGATTAAACGCAAATTAAAATACCTCGACGACTCTTGTCGGGCGGAATTGCTTGGGCCCTCAGCCTTTGGTCTAGTATGTACATCATCTCCCCGCCAAGATTGAGAATGAGGAACGGCATCACCATCAGCGCCATAGCCACAACCGCCCTTCTTCTTCCTCCTCCCCTGCTTCAACCCCCTCCTGTCCTCCTTCTCCCCTCCTTCCCCACCTCCTTTCCCAGACTGCAGCTGGGCGTTCGTGGACACGCGTTTGCGTCTTCTTCCACAAGCAAACAGGCTACACGTGGCTTTACACGTGGCTACGCGTGGCTAACACGTAGCGTACACGTGATTTAATCGTCGCTGCACGTGGTTACGATGCTGCTGCGTGTGCGCACGAGTGTACGTGTCGCGCACGCCCTCTCCCAACAAACGAAACTGACGGCACAAGGACTCTAGAAGTTGTCGTGGATGCACCTGGCGGGAACTCTCGACAGAGTACGGCCCTCGCTGCGCCACACTAGACTCGTGATATTTCTGGAGCCCTGGTCGCTCCCGTGATTCGTCTTTTTCTGTTTTCCGTTTTTTAAATAAACACATGATCCGTTTCATATGTGGGGAGCTGCACCTGTTGGGAAATGGGCCCAATGTCCCTCAATAAATAAAGATTGAGGCCGCCGGGGTCCTCAGTCTACCCAGGGAAAGAACAGCTGAGTGCCCAGAGCATTACTCGGTTTCGCTTCAAAGTTTTCCGTCGGTAGAAACGAAAAACCTGAAATCAGTCTCAAAATGATGTAGCAGAAGAAAAACTAAATGAAGTAGCAGAAGAAAAATTATCTGTTCTTATTTACTGAGGGTTGAAAGTAGGGGAGTTGCTGGAAACTATCTATTCTCATTTTCTAAGGGTTGAAAGCAGGGGAGGTGCTGGTGGCGGTGGATACCGTTTCAGACCCATGGAGAAAGAAGTAGTAGACCTTCACAGAAGTCTGCGCATGCAAGGAAGGCAGATCAGGCTTCTCATCTATTGACAGTCCGGGGCTCGGTCCCACCTGCGCATTTCCGTTGTAGGAGGCTACCGCGAAGAGAACGGCGGGTGTAAGGACCATGGATTGACAAAATCGATGGTCCCTAGACGGCCACCAGTCGCTTTGTGGTAGCCTCCTACAACCAAATCACGCAGGTGGGATGGAGCCCCCGGAGGACGTGAACAGCCGGGGCTGATTGACGGATGATCCCAGAGGAGGTCTGAATAAAGCAGCTTTGAATCATTGGTAAACTCTACCCACGTGAAGGGAGAGGACCACGTCTTCTGGAACTGATCTTTAGGTCATTCTATGGCCTTGAGCTTCTTTCCAATCCAATGGGACATGATGTCAAGACGCAGGGAATGTTTAAACCGCTAGTACACAGCCGCAGCCTTGCAGAAAGTTTTTGTCGCCACAAGCAGAACTCCGAGGCACCGCGCGGCCAGGCCTGCCGTTGAAAAAGAAAATCGGTGACCTCCGAAGCGGTCCGGGTTTCATGCTGACACCCGCGGGCTAATATGTGGTGTACTGGTGCTTTAAAGGAGGAAATTAAGGATGGTAGGGAGGGTTTCAGGTGGTCGAGGGACCTCCTGTCCCTCCTGGCTAGCCACTGTGACCAAAAAGTTCAGAGTCTGAAATTGTGCCACATGACCTATTTGCTGTTTGCTCAACTCTTCAGATACTCAGTCTACCTGTGAACCGTTTTTTTTTTTTTTTGGGGGGGGGGGGGGGGACAAGGCTCCAATCTATTCGTGGGGAGCAGCACATGCTGGGAACCGGGCCCAGCATCCCATATGGAAATTTACATGGAATTTTGAAAGTTTAAGATACCGGGGCCATTACCCAGCTTTGGCTAAGACGATTTTGAACGACTTAGAAAATTACTACGGCAAACTTCAGAAAAAGGGTCTGGCCACAACAAAACACGCCACCACAGAGGTCCTACAAATGCTCAAGACCCTGTGTATCCCTAGCAACCCTTCTAAAGCTTTCCCACACTGTCCTACTCCCTGCCGGGCTCTTCCAGGCCTCACACCCCCACCCTGCTGGGTTAGAGGGCAACACGACTCACCCCAGCTCCGACCAGTGTCGTCCCAGCAGCAACCCTTGGGTGTCCCTTGGAATGCTCACCCCAAAGCATCCCCAGATCTCTCTACCAGGCCTCACACCTCTGCATCAACAGGTTACAGGGCAACACCCCCGCACCGGCCAGAGTCGTTCTGGCATCGAACAGCCGCAGATCACTGAGTATATCAGCAATGGAGCCGTCTAACTAGGAATCCCCAGAATTCTAAATCATTCCTAAGACCCCCCTTGACAACCATGAACATCCAACCAAACCTTGGATCTTTTTTTTGGTAGTTTCATGAGAGCTAAACTAAGAACATACATGAAACAGTCTGATCAGCCTAAAAAACAGGAAGACGGGAAAACGAAATCCACCCACGATCCAGCTCCTTCCCCGCACTGCAGAGGGAAGACTACTGCCCAGGCGTTTAGTCCTCGTACCATAACTCGCTAGATCTCATACCCCCCTTGCTAGGGTGACAGGACAACACCAACTGCCCCAGTACCGACCGAACTAGTTCTGATGAACAAGAAGTGTCTTCCTCCCTCGACAACTTCCTTAGCTGCACACCCGACCAATATGGTTATGCCTTCCACCCTCGGCATAGCTCCAATCGTATCGAGTTCCCCCTGGTTACGGAGCAACTGCTCCAGCACTAACCATTGTCACCCCACCCGCCCTTCTAATACACCTACCACCCTGAACACCAATCCGTCCTCTGCCCAAGCACCACCCTACTAAAACCAACCTTCCCCGTCATGTTTACCAAATAACTCTTTAAGAGTTTCTTTTCGAAAACTCTGGAAAATCAGATACCAACCTGGAAAAAAAAAAAAAAAAAAAAAAAAAAAGGAAAACTTCATCTACATCCAAAAAAATGACAGGAGGGGAAAAATTGTCCTCTCTTCAGATGCAGGTTCTGGCATTCACCCGGGACTCCATGACACATAATAAGCTCACTGTGTGACCATCGAAGTTACTCCTTCCCTCAAAAAGCAACCCCCCTGTTCCTACACTGCCCTCACCGGGAGGCAACCCCTCTCCTCTCGGCCCCAGTTTAGAACAGCCTATAAACGGACACTTCAACCCACGAAAAGGCATACAATTCCCCCTAGAGCATACCTCATAGGCTGAAGCTCCCCCTTTCCTTCTGCCCCACCCCCTCCACGCAAGGCAGCCCTCTCATCCTCACACCCTGCTATAAGCAGCCACCCTCTTGCCTTCTCCCCCCAACCGCCAGTGTTGATCCGACCCTAAATCAACCTGATCCAGAAAAAGACCATCCCTCAATACCGCCTCCCCCCTCCAAGGGTAACACCTCCCACCTTGTGAAACCCTCACGGGGAGGGGCTCCAACCCTAAAGGAGAACCCCACAGATTCACAAAGGAAGACGCAAATATACCGTACAAAGATCCCCCTAACGAAGAAAACAAACAATCAGAATCAGAATTTACAGCGACAGTAATCAGGACTAGGAAGTTGAGATTTGCAGACGTAGATTTTTCCAAATAGAAAAATACTTCGGAATCAAACTTTTATAAATTGAAAATTAGAAACAAAATTATAAAATCTATCTGAAACATCTTTTGGAAATTAAAATTTAAAAACAAGATTTAAAAAATCTATCTGAGATGTCCAATATTGGACTCACGAATATATAAAATCAAAAAAGTAATCATGATCATAGTTAAGGTCATCATTAAGGAAAACAACTATATTCCCTAACGAAAAGAAAAAAAAAATCAGAATCAGAATTTACAGCGGCAGTAATCAAGGCTAGGAAGTTGAGATTTGCAGATGTAGATTTTTCCAAATTGAAAAATATTTCGGAAGCATACTTTAAAAAATTGAAAATTAGAAAACAAAATTAGGAAATCTATCTGAAACATCTTTTGGAAATTAAATTTTAAAAACAAGATTAAAAAAATCTATCTGAGATGTCCAATATTGGACTCACGAATATATAAAATCAAGAAAGTAATCCTGATTGTAGTTAAGGTCATCGTTAAGGGAAACAACTATATACCAAATAACATACTCATGAATAGGAATTGCACAAGAAAACACTACGGGCAATATAAGGAAAACATCAGTTAGAGAGAATCTACTTCATACAAGAAATACTATCGAAATACTATCGAAAAAAGAAGTCAACAAAAACATGTTGATCATCAGGCGAAAACAAATACAAGATCATACCTAGTCAATCGAAAAATCAGAAAATCCTAAAAATAGCGCAGAAACCTACGAGTACCCAACACATGACCCTCCCTTCCCGAACCTCACCTCCACATGTCACCGACCTTAAGGCATCTCGACTGTCATTTGACCACTCCGGTCAGTCAAAGTCGAACGGTGACAACAACGGACCGCAGCGCATTTACCAAAACTATCCACGCCACGTTGCGGAACCAGGCTGCTGGACCCGCCAACAACTCCCCGCAAGCAGTCCCAGAAGAGGAGAACTTGTGACCTTACAAAGTATCGCACCTTCTCGTAGAGATAAGCAGCAGCAACAAATTACATCTCCATATGCCACGAAGCTCGGAAACAACCCACCAAACCGAATCCCAACAACCACCTTTCACTATCCCTAATACCTCAACAAAAGTCCACCCTGCCCACACTTGATCCATCGTTGTCGCTTTCACCCCTCACACACCTTCTTCCTCCCCATCATGAACTTCCCCCACGGCTTCGCTCCATGACTCGACATCTTCGCGGCGCCACCATCGTGTATCGGCTCCGCACTCGTCACAATCGGCCCATCGTGTTGACCCGGTTTCGCGCCTTGGAAATGTTGGGGCGCAGCGCTCCCGGTAGCGTTGCGCCCCACAGTCCGAGACTTAGCATGTCTTCACCCTAAGAGCAGTGTCTACCTGTGAACAGTAAATCCTGGGTCCAAAAGAATCTTACGCTTCTTTCAGGATACTTCCCCAGGTAGTACTGATGGGTTTGGAGGTGAAGGGTTTCATTAGTAGCTAGTACCGGACTGCTTATGGGTCCGACACGTCTGATTCCTTTGCAAGAAGGTGTTGGGAGAGAATAATTCACGGTTGTTGTTCCTTTGCTATCAGAGCTCTGATAGGCCATTTGCCCAACAGGGCACGGTTCTGGGTCTCGGGTCTAGGATACCGAGGCCCCCTTCTTTACGTTTCCTCGTGATTTTGTTCCAACCGACTTTATTGAGAGCCGAGTTTAACTTAGAGTTTCCTTTCCAAA